AATAATCCAGCTTGACAGCAAACTTTTGGCCGTTTGTGATAGCGCAAGCTGTCAGACTTCACAATTGCTACCCAAGTTCAGCTCGCCACACATCATGTGAAAGGTTTCGTATGCTCGAGACTGCATCTTCTACGAGAAAAAAATTCTCGATGACTTCGAACACGACATGGAACACCATCAGTGGGATCCTGATCGCTACAGTGTCGAACGGAGTTTCGCCACGCCTCAAGATGAAGCAGATGCAACCGAAGAATATTATCCGTCAAACAGTGCAGCAGCAGGACCTTCTTCAGTTCCGCAGTTGTCCACATCAGCAGCTGCACCTGGTTCCTCCTCTCGTGTCGCAGCACTATTCGAATCATATATTCCTTCGACACGTGCCAACAATACAGCTACTCCGCTCTTCATTCCCCTCTCGGGCCCGTTGCGTCCTGCCACGACACAGGCTACGTACAATTATGAAGAGCACATGCGCCGACAGAAATTGACGCAACATCACATGACGATGCCCGCCATCTGCCATCCAAAATTGACGATGATGGCGTCGTCAAAGTTTGCCAGCCGCACCCTCGTGGTGACAAATCGGCTCTTCAGATTCTCAACCTTGCTGTCGTAGTTCAATCACCGACGGCCGGGATCAAATCGAAAACAGTCAAGCATGCCCTCTCCGGCTCTGATGCTGACAAATGGCGAGCAACTATGGATGCAGAAGTATCGGCTCTCGAGAACCCGAAAACGTGTAAACTCGTTCCACGTGAAATGGCACGTGGCAAGAATTTTTTTTTGGGCAAGTGGGTCTTTTGCATTAAGACAAACGCAGTAGGAGAACCAGACAGATTCAAGGGGAGATGGGTCGTTCGATTATAGCCAAAAAGTGGAGGTTTCAAACAAACCCACTGCATCAATTATGACTAAACTTTTGCTCCGGTCAGCCGCGATACCTCAGTTCGAATTCTTCTCGCTATCGCTGCCAGCCGCCATCAGCCACTTCGCCAACTGGACGTTAAGAATGTGTTTTTATATGCAGACATTGATGCAGATATTTTCATCGAGCTCCCTCACACTTATGGTGATGGGCTCCACATCTGCAAACTACTCAAGTCCCTCTACAGCATCAAACAGGCCCCACGCCTGTGGCAGCAGCATCTCCACCAGGTCCTTTCTTCCCTCGATTTCGTGCAGCTGCCCCACATTCCTGGAATGTACATACTCGAATCTTGAGGACATTAAATTCTTCTAGTTGCCTATGTGGATGGCCTACTATACACCGGCTCATGCAACAGTCTTCTGGCGCGCATGGAGAAAAGAATCCAAGCGATCCATGAATTTACTTTTTCCCCCAACGTAACCCAATTCATTGGGTTAAAGGACGATTGCGGCCCCGATGCCATCTACCTCTCTGCCAGCAAGTACGCTGAAACACTTGCGAAAAAAGTTCGCCATCGCTCCCATCGGCCTTGCCACTCCTTTTCGTCATATTCCGGCCGACCACACGCCAAACACTACCCCACTTACCGCCTACGAGCATCAACTTTACCAGCAGCAGCTCGGGTGTCTTCTATTTGCAGCCGCTACATGTTGTCGCGACCTTGCCTACATTACGAGTGAGCTCGCACGGTACCTGCGCCGACCTGAAGGGGAGAATATGGCCGATCTTTGTCGAGCCCTCCAGTATTTTATTTCTACTCCTACAATTTGTCTTAGCTACACGACAAATACTGCAACAAATTTTCGACTAACTGGATACGTTGACGCGGATCACGCTGCTAACCCTGACAATAGGCATTCACGAACACGGTTCATCTTCAAGCTTGAACCAGGTGGTGTCATTTCTTGGAACTCAACGAAACAAGCCATCGCACTCTCGTCAGTCGAAGCAGAATTCACCGCAGCAAGCTCTGCAGTTCGCGAAGTACTCTATCTTCAAGAGTTGCTTCAAAAGGTGAAAATCGCAACGGCTCGTAACTTCAAGTTGCTGTGCGACAACCAGAGCGCAATCAAGATTGCAAACAAGCCCGACTTCGTCAACAGGACAAAACACATCGCCCTTCGATACTTCTTCGTCAAGGACGAAATTGACAAAGGGAAAGACATCCCGAAATTCTGCCCTACACAAGAAATGGCAGCTGATTTTCTCACGAAGAAACTCCCACGCGGCAAGTTTCGATACTGCTCCACCTGGTTGGAATCTGCAAATGAGGTGAGACTTACCCTGAGACATATACTCAAGAATGAAAGGGAGTGTTGAAGTATACTTGGTAGAGTTACCATTTATGCATTCCTGATACCATGCTTAGACTATACTAGTTGTGAGATACCTCATATGGAAGGACGCGCGTGATGACGTCAGCAGTAGCGAGTCAACGCGTGAAGTGTAGGTTCGTGCGTATAGTTACCCGAAGAGTCACGCCACTCTCAGTCACACGAACAGTCACTAGCCATGTCACGAGAATAGTCGTATTACATCACGAACATGTACATTACAAATAGGTAGTTCATAGACTATAAATATGCCTGTATAACTCATTATTACCATCCTTGTCATCTCGGACATTTCCAATACAAGGTGTAAGTCTTCCGCTGAATTTTACTCGTGGTTCCTCCAACTCTAGATCCTAGCCACCCTAAACACATCGTTCACTTTTACATTAGTCAAATCCACAGAGTGTCAACTTATATATATTTTATATATAGTTGTGTAGGCTTGTTTGGTGTCCTACAAATGACTGGATCCTACTATACAGAGGACAACCCCCTTCTTTTACCTCACTCTCTCTCCTAGTCAAGTCTTTTTTCTCTCACTAATTTCCTCTCCTACCTAGCTAAACCCTACCTTGTTGTTCTAACATGGTTTCAGAGCAGGAAGATCCTGCTGAGCCTCCTATTCACGCTTCCACCGCGTACTCTCTCCTCTCCTTTTACTTTTGTGCCTTGCCGTGCTGCCGCGGCGACCTCGTCGAGCAGCCGTGCCTACCTCGCCGCGCTGCTACGGCGACCTCGACGCGGTGCCGTGGCGGCCACGTCCTGCTGCCATGGCGGCCTCGACGCGTGGCGGCCTTGTCGAGCAGCCGTTGCGGCCTCGCCGTGCTGCCGTGGTGGACTCGTCGTGCTGCCACAGTGGCCTCGTCGTGCTGCCGTGGCGTCATCGTGCTGCCGCGACGGCTTCGATGCGCCAGTGCACGGACGGCTGCGGCCAACGTGCTGGTTTAGGCGCCAGCCAATACGCCTGCACGCCAGCAAGCGCCATGCTAGCTACGGCGCCTCGCTGAAGACACGCCCCCTCCCCTGCGTCTCCCCTCATCCCAGCCGTAGCTGATGGCTCCCTTCCCTGTCGTCGCCGGGCAGTTCCATGCCACCGGGTGCCGCGGGCTTCGCAGTCGCTGCCGCCGCCACCGCTGCAGGTGCAGCTGGCTCCGTCGCCACCCGCCACCGCCGCCGCCCGTGTTGTCATCGTAGCTGCCGCTGACGCCGTTGCTGCCACCTGCCATCGTTTCGTATGAGGTGTATAAGCCGCAACCGCTGTAGGACATGGGGTTGCAAGGGCTTGGGGGTGTTTGTGTGTGGTGTGCTAGTGCCTACAGAGCCTAGGGAATGTGTCAACTTATATATTATATATATATAGTTGTGTAGGCTTGTTAGGTGTTTTACAAATGACTGGATCTTAAGAGGACAACCTCCTTCGTGTACCTCTCTCCCTCTCTCTCTCTCTCTCGCTCTCTCTCTCTCTCTCTCTCTCTCTCTCTCTCTCTCTCTCTCTCTCTCTCTCTCTCTCTCTCTCTCTCTCTCTCTCTCTCTCTCTCTCTCTCTCTCCCTCCCCTAGTCCAGTCTCTTTTCTCTCGCTTCTCTCCTCTCCTACCTAGCTAAACCCTACCTTGCTATTCTAACACAAAGCTCGTGAACATGTAAATTTGTATCTCTCTTGCTCAATCCCTTCCCCTTACCAAGCTGCCCATCTCGTCCTAGAAAACAAAGCAAGCTTACGTACGAGACCTAAAAAAGAGATCCACATTAGCACACATCAGGATCCTCTCCACTCCCTCTCCCTCTGCAGTTCTACCTGTGTATACATGCACATGTCAGCAGTGTACTAGGATAACAATATTATTTGAGGTTTATATATGATAATGGACCACATTATAGGCGCAGCTCATACGTGTGAAACCTGCTGAGTGTTCGTGATTTTCTAACTGCCAGATCAGCACACAGAACGCGGGTACAGTTTTCATCTAAAGGTAAGACCACATAGACTCTGCCAGGCAAGCCAAGGAGCTTGGTGTTAACCCCTTGACCAAGCCTGAAAGTTTGAAGCTCAGCACAGCGCACGCCAGCAGCAGCGAATCAGAGTCGTCGCAATCCACGACATTGCGTGACGGGACATTGGACAAACGGGCACAGAGAAATCTGACTGTCTGCGCTGGTGTCGCAAAATCCACGACATCGTGTGACGGGACTCGGCCATCCTTCGCGAGAGCCACGTTTGGATTTCTGCGAAGGCCGATTGAACCATCGCTGTCGATCGGTAATCCAGCGAAAAGAGCGAATCCTCAACACGCGAAAAAGGGCCTATCGTCACGAGCATTTTCCAACGATAGTTCGTCTCGGTATACACCAGGAACAGTATATATTCAAACCCACCTACCTGGCACTGAGCATGACTCGCGTTGACGCTGAACCTGATGGGCTCCAGTATGAACGATAGAGAAAGGGCAAGTCTGATTTCGACAAATGCGAGTTTCAGGTCTGGGACGTCGCGCGGGCATCTTCTCGTGTGCATGAGCGAAAATATGTAACGAGTACAGTACTGTGGGTTTCCCCTTCCATGTCCCCTTTGTCCGGGTTTGAACGTTTCCTGCTTGCAGGCTCAAGACGCATGCAAACAAAGTGGGACTAAATATAAGAACAAGTGTAGTTGGTTTGGGTGGGGTGCAGCCTTTCCGAGGTTTCAGTCGCGTGCAGTCTTGCATCCCTCTCTTCCTTTCAAAGTACAACTCTACTTTGTAAATATCCAGTTTTTCTTGTGCTCTCACTTGCGAACCATTAGCTCAAACTACTCGGCCATAAATTCTGCAAACACGACGTTGACGCTGCGACCTGCGCCCAGTTTCAGAAAACCGGCATTGCAGAGAACACTGGTGTCACCGCTGCAAGCCGTCTCAAAAGCTGCCGCCGCCGTCATTTTGCACGAAGCCAAAACACAACGTTACAACACCATGCGGCCATCGTCGAATCCTCCTCGCTCTTCCCTGCGTGCGAAGCCAGTCGTAGCGCTGCTGCTGCTGCTGCTGGTGCTGTGCGTCCATCACAAGGCGGGCCTCGTAGGAGCAGAGACGGTCAGCCTCCACGCGTCGCAAAGTGAGTACGGCCCATATTGGTCGCTCCGATTCTTCCTGTGTGCAGAGTCCGTCGCGGCGCTGCTGCTGCTGCCAGCGGCGCTGACACTGTGCCGCGTCCACGAGCTCCTACAGGCTCGCCTCGTGATGGGAGAGACCGTCACCCTCGACCCGTCGCAACTTTCATGTTCAAGTAGGACTAAAGGTAGTAAAGCTGCCACTCTTCCCGTGTGCACGGCGCGGTTGCTGCTGCTATCGCTGTGCGTCCACGGGCAGCCCCAAGCTCGCCTCGTGGGAGCAGAGACCGTCATCCTCGACCCGTCATCCTTGACCCCGTCACCTCGTGCCACGGCCGACATTCTCTGCTTCCCTCTTCCGTTATCTCATCTGTCTGTCCCTCCCCTTCAAGTGGCAAGATTTCACTCTCCCGTCCTTCTAATTAACTCCCTTCCATCTCCCGCCATTCTGTCTCACCCTTCCATCTCTCACCTTTCTCACTCCCACCCCTTCTCATCCTGTCCCTTCACCAGTCGCCCCCTTGCAGGCCCTGGAAACCGGTTTGAACGAGACGCTCGTGTACAGCGACCAGACTTGCGAGACCACCTCCACCATGGGCGACATCCTCTGCGACGCCGAAGGCTACGTCACCGAAATCAGGTCCGTCCAGGTGCTGCTCCACTGGCGCTCCTCAGAGCCGTTGAAGTTTGAATTCATTCCCCTCAACACCTCACCGCCGTACCCACGTGCCAAAATACTTCTACCTTGGACCGACCATGGCCGACCATGGCCGACATCCTCAGCAACGCTGACGGTTTCTACGCCATCAAAATCACGTCCAAGTCGGTGTGTCGATGTTTGAGGCACCCACACCACGTCAATTCTGGGCGTCGCAGAACCACCATCAGCTTCTGAGATGGTGGGGAGCAATCCGAACATTCCTTCGTTGGAGTCTACTCGAGATTAAGACACCCAACTTGCAATTTCGCCCTCCTTGAACACCCCTCCCCCCCCCCACCCCCCTCCTTCCCTCCCTTCACCCCTTCTCCCATAAACCCCTTCCCCCCTCCCCCCTTACCCCCTTTCCCAATTCCTCGGTTCCCCAGCATATTCAGTTTCCAATCTTTATTTTGGAAGTGACGTCTATTCCAGCATCCCTACTTCCGATGTAAACTTCAACAATCAACCTCCAATGGTGGCATTCCCAATCCGCCCCCTTGCAATATCTCCATTTTCCAGCCCTACTTCGGCAAGGACTCTTCTCCACCATTCCTTCGGCTTCAGACTCTTTCTCCCCCCCTCCACCCCCCACCCCCCCCCCCCCCTCCCCCTTCCCCATCACTTCAGTTTTCAGTCATACTTCGGCAGTGTCTATTCCAGCATTCCTGCCGATATCTCCCTGCTCACCCGTCTTTCGAAAGTGTAAGAGATGGACTCTTGCACGCGCACACATGAATGCACGCACACGCAGGACTGCTTACACGTACACAACCCCCCTTCTACCGCTCCTCCCCCCCTTACCTCCCTGCAATTACACCAGCAACACCCATCCAGCCCCCATCAAATCCGAGAAACACCAACGTGCACGCATGCATTCGCGTTGCACTTGTACAATCACATGCATACTACCCGTACATCTAATACCCATCCACCGCCCCACCCACGCACACGCATGTTACACCTATGCATTCACACCCTCTCCTGGACATCCATCCGACCATCTTCCCCCAGCCGCGATATCCACGTTTTGAAATCGCGTCCACCTACAAGCAGACCTACGCGACCACCCTCCCACCTGTGCACCCATATGCTTAGACCTCTGCATTCATATGCACTCACCGCTCCCCCTCCCCCCCTTTCCACCCCCCGCACCGCAGCGAACTCCGCACCCTGAATTTCGGGGGAGCCGCGCTGCCTGCCAGCCTCGGAGCCGTCCCCAGCCTGGAGTACCTGTGAGTATTATTATTGTGCTCCCTGTGGCGTCTCTTGTCTTCGTATTTATTTTCCAGTCAACTCGAAATTGGAGAGGCGCTGTCTGCCAGCCTAGGAGCCGTCGCCAGCCTGGCGTGCCTGTGAGTATTAGTGTGCGCCCTGTTAGTCTTACTCTCTCCATTGCAGTAAGTTGCCCAGCCGTGGCCTCTCTGGCAACTTTTCAGCTAGCACAAGAATCACCCGCCCACTCTCTCTCTCTCTCTCTCTCTCTCTCTCTCTCTCTCTCTCTCTCTCTCTCTCTCTCTCTCTCTCTCTCTCTCTCTCTCTCTCTCTCTCTCTCTCTCTCTCTATCTCTCTCTCTCTCTCTCTCTTTGTTCTCTCTCTCCCCCACTCCTCTCCCCTGTTACCCCCACCCCCCTCCTACCTCCTGTTCCATGGCAGCCATCTGTCCAACTGTGGTCTCTTTGGCGCCCTTCCCAGCGACCTCAGCGCGTGCACCAACCTCAAGCACCTGTGAGTACCCACAAACAGCCAACCTTGGCTACAGGGGCAGGTGTGGCAGGTGTGGCAGGTGGAATTGTCTTTGACGCTGGCCGTGACGTCAATGTACCTTAAACCACCTGCTGTCGCACGTCATGTCCCTGCTGATCCCTTCATCAATCATCCCACTACCGCCGGCTGACTCTACGTATCTGCATTTGAGGGACCATAAATCCCACCCCGTCTGGGAGGGATTTATCCCAACACATCCCACCCCGTCCTCTTTGCCTGCCGTGACCTGTAAGGCCGAATTCAACTCAGAATCTCCCACCATCGGCCCTCTCTCATCGCTTTCCCAAGAGGCGCTCTAAAAGTCCTTTCAACACACACTCTCTCCACCCTCCCCTTTTCCGTTCCTTCCTCCCCGTTTGGCAGGGACCTGTCAGGCAACGGATTCAGCTCGCTCTCTCCCACCATCAGCTCTCTCGCAAAACTCGAATTCCTGTAAGCCTCATACATGACCTTTGAATCAGCACAGGAAAATACCAGCTCACACCCCTCTCCCATGTGTAAGAGATTACAACATCAAATACGGGCCTATCCCCATGTTTCCTGCTAAAAGTGTTCGCTCTCCTGTGGTCTTTCCTCTACCACTCTCCCCACTCCCCCCCCCAAACCCACCCCCCCCCCCCCCCCCTCTCCCCCTTTTTCCCCCCACCCCTCTCTGCCCACCCACCTCTGCCCCCCACCCTCTGCCTGCAGCGACCTCAGCAGCAACGTGCTGGATGGGCCAATCCCCTCAGAGCTCATGGCTCTCACCAATCTTGCTCACATGTGAGAGTCCTTCCGTCCGATTTCTTCATCCTCACTGAATCGATGGAGTTTCTGCCCACTGCGTCCCTAGCTATTCTCATCACTTAATCTCCATCACTGCACCTGCCTCCCATGGCCTGCTGCCTGCCGCAGTGACATGCACAACAACAGCTTCAACGGCTCCATCCCCGACAGCATCGTCAACCTGCAGGCGCTCACAGACCTGTACGCACAAGTTCTTGCTGCACACTTGTCAGCTGAAAGTCTGCCTTCTTCATGCATGCACCCATACCTATAAGACCAGCCTCGACGGCCCCATCCCCGAAACCATCGCCAACCTGCAGGTGCTCACAGACCGGTACGCACTAACCGTTCCATTCTGCAAACCCCTGTGCGTACATTGTAGCTGGACCTCTTAGCCCATAAGACCATACCGCAAGCACTCACCCATCTGCAAGCCCTCACCGTCCTGTGTGACGTAAGCAATCCGTGCCCCAACTCTCACCCTCAGAACGTGTTTGCCCGCTTTGTCCTTGAGACCATACTCACATCCATGCTCGCATCCATACTCACATCCATGCTCACATGCACAGCCACACCTTTTTCTGCCACTATCACAGACACCTTCACCATCCCCCTCCCTCCCTCCCACCAACCCCTCCTAACTAACCTGCCTGCAGGGACCTCTCGGATAACTTCCTCTCGGGAACCATTCCAGCAGGGCTTGGCTCCATCCCCAAACTTCGTCACCTGTGAGTAGGGATGCAGACAGACACACGCAAAACACCCCACAAACAACACAGTACATTCCACACACTCACACACACACACACACACACATACACATGCGCGCATGCATGCACGCCTACCCCTGTGTGCACGCACGTGCAGGCACATGCACCTGAACGAATGCAGAAGTGGTCAGAAACAGCCCATCGTAGCTATCCAAAATTCTCTCTTCTCATGTAGTGTATGCACTTTCCCCCCGCACTGCCTCCCCACTTCTCGATTCCAACCATCTCTTTTTCACGCAGGTGACCGGGGACCGGTCCTTTGTGTCCTAAGGAGTACACCAGCTGCGTGGTGCCGCAGAGCACAGGAGCTAGTTCTGCATGCGTTGCAGACCCTTCTCATTCCCTCTTATGCATTGCCCTCTGTTACTTCTCCTGTACGTGCACACGCAGGTGGTTGGGCACTGGCCCTGAATGCCCCAAGGAGTACACCAGCTGCGTGGTGCCGCAGAGCACAGGCAGCCAGCTCTGCATGTGGTGCTCCTACTTCTGCACCACCTGCGACAAAAAGAACCGTGAGTTGGCATGGAACGAACGATTGGCACGTTAGATGTGAATGAGTTTCCTGGCATTGATGCATCCAATCAAGATGTGCGTTGAGACCCATTAGAGAAGCTCTCTCCTACCTCTGCACCACATGTGACACCAAGAATCGAGAGTTAATGTCTCAGTGCCCATAACAACCGTGAGGTAATCTCAGTGTGCCCGTAGCAATCGTGAGTTAATCTCTCAGTGCCCGTAACAACCATGTTTTATATCTCTCAGTGCGCATATCAACCGTGGGTTAATCTCTCAGTGCCTGTAACAACCGTAATTTGAACCAGAATCTGGAATCGACACATTTGATCGCTGAGTTGAGTTGCCTCAAAGCAAATCATGTGGCGTTAAGGCTTCTGCAGCACCTGCTGGTGGGTATCTGGGAGTGTCCACCAACCAACCGTGAGGCGAAGTGTTCTGGAGTCTAAAAACTGGACGAGTGAGGATGCAGGAAACATGCTGTGCACGATATTTCAAAATTATCAATTACCACAACACCACCCTCACCTTTGTCTCATATAATCCCTTAACCCTAGACCTTGCAACGTAATCCTCAAACCCTTAACCATTGTATCCCAAACCCTCGACAGCGCTGGACGGTTTTACGCTGCCAATCATTCCAGGAGACACCAGCAACAGCTACACCACCAACAACGCCAACTCTAACTCCAATGCCAACGCCTCCTCCTCCAGCTCTGGGCTGTCCACTGGGGCTATCATTGGCATTGTTGTGGGGGTGGTGCTGCTGCTCGTTGGATTCGTTGCTGTTGTGTTCATTGTGATTCAGTGCGGGAAGAAATCCAAAGGTGAGCCATCTGAATGCCAATGCCTCTGCCTCCTGCTCTGGCGTCTCCATTGGTATCGTGGCTGGGGTGATTATTCTGGTGGTTGGCATCCTTGTGCTTGTCTTCACTGTCGTGCAGAATGGGATGACAAGGTGAGAGAAAATTCTCTTAGGTTTTCTTTACTATCCCCACCGCACCCTTATTCCTGATTGCCAAGGGTTCTTACCTCCTTTTTCTGGTGTCCGTTTTCGTTGTACAGATGCGGAGGTACCTGTATATGCAGATGGTAACCAGTACCCAGCTGCACAGGGCGCCTATGCTGCTAGTGGTGGCTATAAGCCAGATGCAACTGCCGCGGTGTAACCGTGCTACTGCACCAGCCACTCGTTGCTGCACTCATCATCAAAGTTAATATGGCCAGGGGTTGTGCTCCAACTGCTGCAGAGCAAACCAAGCTGCTGCACCAGTCAAGTGTGTAACACTTGCTGCTACACTTATCGTCAAGGGGGCTGTGCTCGTATGATAAAGTGAGCTCCCTCTTTGTGTGAAACGTTTGGATTTTCTTTTACTACTTGCCCTCATTATTCGCCTTCACTTGCGCCGATTGTGTGCCTTTACTTGAATGTGTGCACAGTCTAGTTTGCCTTTCCTTGGTTACTATTATGAGCTACTCAATGTCTAGAGTTCAATCCTGATGTGTGTTAAATGTGATGTTGGTTTGAGGATGTTCTTGTGCACTTTTATTACAAATCTCAGTGTATCACAAGATACAGGGTAATGAGTGCACAATTCAGTGCCATTAGAATACCCGTGCTAAGAGGTGGAAGTCGACTTGTAGAACTTGTGTAGTATGCAGCTCCGCAAACAATTTATGTGTACTCACTCAAAACTCAAACATAAGATTACCGTGAAACTTCCCAAGCAAACACCACCAGAGCAGGGCTGACGTTTCAAACCTGCGACCCAAATATCAACATATACATTTGCATGTAGAAGTTATAGGCTAGAATAGGTGTGTGTTCTTAGAGACTACAACCCAAACCCTACATCTCCCTTGTTCTCTCTTCCTTCTACTCATTCTAGTATTCTAACGTGGTATCATGAGTAGTTTAGGTCCACCCACCCGCTTCCACCCCGCACCCTAGCCTACCGCGCCTCGCCGGCCCCTCTCTCGCCATAGCCGGCCCCTCGCGCCGTAGCCGGCCGCTCGTGCCTAGCCGGCCCCTCGCGCCGTAGCCGGCCCCTCTCGCGCCGTAGCCGGCCCCTCGCGCCTAGCCGGCCCCTCGCGCTTAGCCGGCCCCTCTCACCTAGCCCCCCCCCCCCCCCACCCCCCCTTCGTGCCCAGCCGGCCCCTCTCGCGCCGTAGCCGGCCCCTCGCGCCTAGCCGGCCCCTCTCGCATAGCCTGCCCCTCACGCCGCAGCCGGCCCTCGCGCCTCGCCGGCCCCTTGCGCTTCGCCGGCCCCTCTTGCCTAGCCGGCCCCCTCTCGCCTAACCGGCCCCTCTCACCTAGCCGGCCCCTACCGCCTAGCCGGCCCCACCTGCGCACCATCGGCCTCACGCGCATTGCCGGCTCCTCTCTACGCACTGGCCCCCTCGCCGCTTCGGCCAAGCCCCGGACCTCCTCGAATGGCCCAGTCTGCTCCCTCACAGTGTGCCAGTGTTTGATTTAGACATGGATCAGATTAGTTCAGCCCTGCATTCTCTGTATGCTGACGCTTCTAGTGTGTCCGGATCTTATTACCCTGTGTTCTCTAGCTTAGGCGTAGCACCTGTGTGTAGCACTCACTCCCCTGCTGCGTCAGGCGTAGGTCCGTTTGCCCTGTCTAGCCTAGGCTCTACCGTGGCTCCTCCTTCGTCAGCGACAACTGCCTCGCTGTCCTTCACGCTCGAATCTGGTGCGTCTGCTTGCTTCTTCCGCGACCATGCCACTCTCACGCTGCTCGCTGCCCCTGCCTCTGTCGCCTTTGCTGACCCCTCTTCTGGTCCAGTCGTTGCTCGCAGCTCCACTGCCCTTCCCTGTCTAGCGGCCCCCTCGGGTTCCCTTACAGGCCTGAACATCCCCTCGTTCTCCAAGAACTACGTTGGTGTCGGCTGTCTTCAGGACCTCGGCGTCACCACTACGTTCCCTGGTCACGAGCGATACGCTGTCTATACCGAGGTCGCCTTAGGTGCCCCCCTTGCGACGTTCCCTCGGGGCCCGGCATCTGGCCTGTTTATGCTGGACACTGCTTCCCCCCCGAGTGGGGCGTCCTCCCTGGGTCTTGCATCTACCCAGGTTGCTGTGGCCTGCTCGTGTCGGTCGCTCACTCACCCGTCCCTTCTGTGGCACCACTGCCTAGGTCACCCCGCACTCCCGCGTCTGCGTCACATGTCTCAGCAAGGTCTTGTTGCAGGTCTCCCTGCGTCGCTTCCTTCCCTCCCTCACTCGCCTGTGCCGCCGTGCACGCCCTGCGTCGAGGGCCAGCTGCGCCATGCTCCTCACTCCTCGCTTCGCCCTGCCACCGCACACCTCCAGACCCTGCACCTGGATGTCAGGGGCCCAGCCCCTGTCCCTGGACCGCGCCGCGAGTGCTACTTTCTCGTGCTCGTCGACGACTTCACGCGCTAAACCACGGTGTTTCCCCTGGAGCGGAAGGCCGACGTGCCTGACGTTCTTATCCCGTGGATCGTAGCTGCGCGCCTCCACCGCTATCTCCCTGTGCTGTGTCTCCACGTCGACTGTGGCGGCGAGTTTGCCTCAAGTCGGCTTGGTCAGTTTTGTCGTGCGGAGGGCATCACCCAGTTCTACACTCTACCGGACTCCCCGCAGCAGAATGGGGTCGCTAAGCCATGATTCATGCCGGTGCACCCTATTTTCTGTGGCCGTTCCCCATTTGCTACGCCCCTCACCAGCTTAACCTGTGGCCACGCTCCCAGCGGCCGCAGGTTTCGCCGACCCTTCTTTGGACTGGGTTCCCTGGTGACGCGTCCGCGTTGTATGTTTGTGCCTCTGGCACGGACAAGCTAACTGCCCGCACTGTCCCCTGTGTCTTCCTCGGTTTCCCCCTTGACTCATTGCCTCCCTCGTTACCAACCCGTCTGTTCCTGACTCGAGTCTTGACGCTCTTGTCGCTGCTGTCGCAGCCTTCGCCTCTACCTGCCACCCTGACTACGCCACCGCTCTGGTCTCTGACCCTATTTGTCCTCTGTCCTTCGGGGGTGCGCCTGCTAGCAGTGACGTCTTAGAGGACAGGCAGTACGAGCTTGCTTTCCTGTCTGAGGCTGCTCTTTATCTCTGTTCCATGCTACTCGTCACTGAGGGTGACCTAGACGCCTTTGGTATCCCGGCCCCTCGCACTTACGCTGAGGCGACCTCGAGACCCTGGGCCTTTCAATGGATAGCAGCCATGGATCAGGAGATGGCATCTTGGAGATCCACAGGCACCTACGTCGATGCAATTCCCCCACCTGAGGTGAACGTAGTCGATGACCGGTGGCTCTTCAAGGTGAAGCGCCCATCTGGAGAGCCGCCTGTGTTCAAGGGCGGGGGTTGACTTCTTTCAGACCTTTGCCCCGATCCCGAAGATGACTACTCGTCGAGCGCTGCTACTTGTAGCAGCACAGCGTGACTACGAGTTACACTCCCTCGACTTCTCCACAGCGTTTCTCAAGGGCAGCCTACACGAGCAGGTCTACCTACGCCGACTGTAGGGCTTCACCGGTACCTTCCTTCCTGGGACCTAATGGCTCCTCCGGCGCGCAGTCTTTGGCATGCGATAGGCACCTCGTGAGTGCCACGACATGCTGTGTGCTACGCTAGCTGACCTGCAGTTCTTTCCGTCCGCTTCAAACCTGTCGCTCTTCGTTGTGCTGGCCAGACTATGTTCTACATGCTTGTCTACGTAGACGACCTGGTCTTCGCTACTACGGACAGAGACGCACTGGCCTTCGTGAAGGCCGAGCTGCTGAGGAGACACACCTGCACTGACCTAGTAGAGCTGCGCTGCTACCTTGGTCTGCAGATCTCCAGGGACAGAGCAGCGCGCACCATCACTCTCACATAGTCTTACTTGGTGTGCCAGGTCCTTCAGAGGTTCGGTCTTCGGTTCTCCTCCGCACAGCCCACACCTCTGCCAGTAGATTACAGGCTCTCTGCTCTAGTTCCTGAGGAGTCGGTAGAGCCCTGTGGTCCTTACGCAGAGCTAGTGGGTTGCCTCATGTACGTGACGACTTGCACTCGTCCAGATCTTGCATACCCTCTCAGCATCCTGGCTCGCTTTGTGGCCACAGGCAGACACTGACCACAGCACTGGTCGGCCGCTAAGAGGGTTTTGCGTTATCTAGCAAGTACATCGGGCATGGGGTTGGTGCTAGAAGGACGCAGGCCAGTGGTCCTTACTGGGCACACAGACTCTTCGTGGGCAGTTGATGCCGAGACCCTCAGGTCCTCCCAGGGCTATTGCTTTAGCCCTGGTTCAGGTGCCATCTCGTGGAGGTCCACTCGCTCCTCGTCTGTTGCCCAGTCTAGTTGTGAGGCTGAGATCTACGCCGGTGCCATGGCGACACAGGAGCTCCGTTGGCTGACCTTCTTGCTCACCGACTTAGGTGAGCGGCCTAGCTCTGACCCAATTCTGTACGCTGACAACAGGGCCATGATCCTCTTGTGTTACGAGCCTCGACTTGAGGGCAGAGCGAAGCACATCCAGCTACGATACTTCCTCATGCGCGAGCTACAGCAGCGTCGCCAGGCCCGCGTAGTCCACTTGGCCTCTGGTGCCAACACAGCTGATATGTTTACTAAGGCGCTTGCACCTAAAGATCATCAGCGACACTATTTTCAGCTTGGTATGGTTCCTGTAGACTCTCACTTGCTGGGACCTTGATTGTGTACTCCTTGTATATTGATCTTTCAGACTGGCCTTGTGGCTTCTCTTCCTGTGGCAGGAGTAGTAGTGCCGCCCTGGATTGCTCCTGCCTTGTTTTTACTCTTGCTGACTGGTCTTCGGACCCCTGTCTTAGAGGTTGGACTAGTAGTGCCACCCTGAGCTGTATGCTTCTTGCTCAGCACTACCCCTTATCTAGCCTAGGGGGTGTATCAACTTATACATACATTTGCATGTAGAAGTTATAGGCTAGAATATGTGTTAGAGAGTACAATTCAAACCCTATGTCTCCCTTGTTCTCTCTTCCTTGTATTCAATTTAGTATTCTTACACCAAATTGTTCAAATGCACTACATATGAACTTTGACCCTCAGGATGTACGAAATAATCTGGAAAATCGCAAGGGTGTTTACACTCGTAAATTCAACGCTTGTCGTGAACGGTTAGATTTATAATCACACAGTTTGACGGATGAGATTACCTTTCGACTGACTTGGGAAAGTGCTTGGCTTATGCACCGTCAGATGAAAATGTTGAAAAACTGGATGGTTTATAAATTGTTGAGAAATGTCCTCCTGGGATCTCCTTAAAGCCCAAATTTTTTTTATAAATTGTTGAGCACCTGGTGTTTCAAAGTACCTTCCGCACAGAACTTGAAAGGCACCCCTGAGTGACGAGAGTCTTGTTTGACCCCCCAATACACCCACGAAAGCGCAACTTTCAAACGCACTGCGTTTGAAGCCTGCACCTCACAATTTGGGCCGCGGGTTTTAAAGAAAAACCTCTCAGAGAATCTCCCAAAACTTTTCCGCTACTCTGAGCCTCAGTGTCAAAAATTCGTCAACCCTGCGCTATTGACGGAAATCAGAGTTTGCAGAGTG